GGCCCAACATTGCTATTTCTTGACTAATCAATTTTAGACATTCTCTACAGACTTCCTAGTCCAGTAGTCAAGACTTTGGCTGTATTGTGCTGACTTCCCCATCCCTCTCCGTAACAAAATCACATCCTAACCAATAGTTTTTATAATGTTGTCATTAAGTATTTTTTATTGCAGAGCCATGTAAGGTACCAGAATTTTTTCTCAAACAAATTTTTTCTTAGAATTAATCATTATCTTTGTCACTTGTTTGATTTTGTATGCACCTATACTTAATGTTTTTCAGAGGCTTGGATCTTCCATACTCCTAACAGTACATTCGAGGCTTTTCCCCCCTCCTGAAGTCTTCTACTCTCCAGGCCTACTCTTAGCTATTTTGGGACTTTCCTGAGTTGGATCCCATTTCCTGAATCCCATGTTTTTGTCTTGGTTGACATCATCTGGTTGTTCCTTTAAAAGTGTGAAGAGGAGGTAAATATTTCTGAGTTCTTGCCCAACTACCTGTGTCTCCATTCTACTCTCCCATTTTATTACAGTTTGGCTGGCAAGACCGGATAACGAGGGAAACCTGCCACTTGTCCCTCAGATTTTTCCCATTTTTCCCTGTCCTTTGAACTTATGTTTGACTTGCTTTTTTCCTGGATGCTTTTGGGTTCTTCTCTCTTGCTCTGGTTCTGAAATTTCATGGTGATACGACTTACTGCGGTCTTTATACTTTAATCATTCTGACCCTTGGTCCATCCTTTCAATCTGCGGACTCATGTCATTTTGTTCTGGGAGGGTTTCTTGTATATTTCTGTGTTAATTTCTTCCCCTTCAATTTCTTGTTTTCTTCTGCAATTCATGCTATTTGGATGTTGGTCCATCTGGTTGGGTCCTTCAATTTTTTAATCTTTTCACTACTGTTTTCCATCTCTTTGATGATTTTCCCCTAATTTTTTTTTTTTTTTTTCCTTTTTTTTTTTTTTCCTTTTTTTTTTTTGTCTTTTTTACTGACTGGTACGGGATCGCAACCCTCGGTGTCGCACCCGCACCGCGCTCAGCCAGTGAGCGGGAACCGGTCACCACATGGGATCCGAACCCTCGGTGGGAGCGCCCCAGCGCTCCCAAGCGGCACACTCTCCAGTGCGCCACCGGGCCGGCCCAAAGGTGCACTTTTTAAAATAGAGATTTGTAATATCAATTTGTAAATAGAGTCTGATTTAATAGTAATTCTTAAGGTTAGGAAATTCTGTTTCTGATAGAGAAGACCACAAAATATTTATCTGAAACAGGCATGCCAAAAGAGTGCATCCAGTTGACAAAATTGTATACTATTTTGGTTTGCTTTTTTAAGGCAAATCATGTGCCTTAATGTGTACAATAAGGCAAATTAGTGCATCTGGCAGATTCTCTTTTGGAGCCCTTATTTTGCCTTTCTTCCAAAGCCCTATCATTATTTTTAGTAGAATTAAAGTGATCAGATCTACGGGAACTTTTAGTTCTTGCTGTGTTTGTGAAACATCTTATCTGTTTAACGTACTATGTTGCTATTATTTAATAGATCATTCAACACCAGCCAGCCAGTCTCCTCATTCTTCTAACCCAAGCAGCCTGCCTAGCTCTCCTCCAACACACAACCATAATTCTGTTCCATTCTCCAATTTTGGACCCATTGGGACTCCAGATAATAGGGATAGAAGGACTGCAGATCGGTGGAAAACTGATAAGCCAGGTGAGGTCTAGGTTTCGTTGCTTAGCAAAAGTGAAATAACTTACTCTATCCTTCTCTGGGGTTTGGCACTTGGCAGTGATAGAACATCTTCAATTCTTATCTGTTTTCATCCCTTAGCCATGGGTGGGTTTGGCATTGATTATCTGTCAGCAACATCATCCTCTGAGAGCAGTTGGCATCAGGCCAGCACTCCAAGTGGCACCTGGACAGGCCATGGCCCCTCCATGGAGGATTCTTCTGCTGTCCTCATGGAAAGCCTAAAGGTGAGTAACCACAAGACTCTTGCAGCAAAGATGTCTCCTTTTATTCACAAAAATAGCTACGCTTATTTCAAAGGCTCTTAGAACTGACTGATGCACAGCACATATGTAGCAAAGCCCTAGAGACATGGTTTGCTTTATAAGATTCTCGAATGGGATTTTTTTTTTCTTTTTTTTTGTGACCGGCAACGGATCGCAACCCTTAGTGTCACGCCCGTACCGGACCGGGACTGGCCACTGGATCGCAACCCTCGGTGTTGCTCCCGCCCCTCACTCAGCCAGTGAGCGGCCGGTCTGTATGTGGGATCCGAACCCTCGGCGGGAGCGCCACTGCGCTTCCCAAGCGGCGCACTATAGCAGTGCGCCACCAGGCCGGCCCGGATTTTTTTTTTTTTTTTCTAATTTGTGAATTTATTGGTGATAAAGCAGTATCTTTAGGGGGACAGAAACATAAAGGTTTTAGTTTCATTCCAAGATTAAGAAAATTCTGATTCAGCTTGGAATATTTGATTTAAGCCTTTTCTGACCAAGTGAAAGAAGAGCATATAATTTCAGAAATGTTTTGTTTGCCTAAAACCTTTATAATAAATACCCTTTATAAATAAGTACCACATGGAGCTGAGTTTTAGTGAAAAGACTTCATATAAAGCAAAATTTCACTTTCTTGTTTAAAATAATTATAAGGAGAACTAACTAGTCTTGAGAGTCTTATAATGACTTTTTCTAATAGTTGGATTTTTTTAAGGGGTAGGGTTGGGGTTCTTGGGACACACATGCCTCTATATTGGCTGGGATTGAAAAACAAATCCCTTTCAGACAACCAGGCATTTGACTTCTGCTGACAAGATCTGGGCTGTTTTTCAGTCTATCTGGTCCAGTTCCATGATGCATCCTGGACCTTCCGCTCTGGAGCAGCTGTTAATGCAGCAGAAGCAGAAACAGCAGCGGGGACAAGGCACCATGAACCCTCCACACTGAGGCCAAAGTGGCAACCCTGGAAATGAAGGCTCCATAAACCATGGCATGTTGGGTTTGCAGGACTGGCCTACACAGTCCCTGCAGGTGGCAGCCCTCTTTTCTGTTTCTTGCCGTCAAGAGGGTGTAAGTGTTCCACCGGCCCGCTGAGTGTGCACGAAATGTTCGCAGTGCAACAAAAAAAATCCATCAGGAACTCTCCATCCCCCCGGGGCTTTCTGGAGGGAGAGAGGAACTGCTGTTTGTCTCACTCAGTTTACCTGATATCACCGCCTCTCACCTTCTCCATTGTGCATGTCCCCAGCCACATGGGAAGTGAAAGCTGAGAAGGGAAGGCAGATGGGAGAAGCCAATGGAAACTTCTCAGTCCTTTTTTCCTCTTTGGGGAATAAAATAGGAATCCATTAATGATTGCTTTGCTGACTGAGAATGTAGTTGAAATTATTCCTGAACATCTTTTATTATTGTTATTACTCTCAGTAGTAAAATATCACACTGAATTCTTCCATACACAGGTGTACTTCTAGTCAGTGTGTAGCAAGGAAAGCCCTGTTCACTGTTCCTGTGAGAGGTTGGTGGTGACAGGATGGGGAACCGACCTCTTCAGCCAGTGGAAGTGTTCCATAAGGAGAGTGCAAGGCCTCTCAGTAGGTTCTGGCAGGCCCTCCTCGGCCTGGAGACTCCAGCAGGAAATGCCCTTCACTCTGTAGGTGCTCGAGCCCAGTCGAGGATGCAGTGTGAGTGGTGGTGCTGGGCTGGACTAACAGGTGACTGCAATAGGATTTCAAATTAATGTTTTGATTCCTGTACATTTTACAGTAGCATAGTAAGCAGTCTCACAGAAGGCAGGCTAGTCCATTCATGGCCTGACACTTTTTAATAGGTAGAAGCTTTCAGTGTGGTTATTTTTTGTTTGGTTGGTTTTTGTGCTCCCATCCTACTTACCACCTTCCTGCCCTTGTCTCCATCCCTTTTTACCCTATGCTGTATGCTAGTAATTGTTTTTTATTCCTAATGTGTACAACATCTCGCCAAGAAGCAACAGCATGGGTTCCAGCAGTTGGGCCCCAAAAGACAGTCTGAAGAGGAAGGAAGCAGCGGCATCTACATAGCCCACAGAGGGGCCAGGAACTGCAGTCTCCCAGCCTCCACTTTGAGAGTGAAATTCAAGGCAGTATGGACACATGCATGTCACGCGCAGAAGAAAACACAACGAAGTCCATTTTGGAGAAGGCGAAGGAAAGGAAAATAAACTTTTTATTTGATATTTATTAGGAGGAAAGAGGACTGAAAATGTTCTTGTGCAGAAACAGAAGGACAACATTTCTGTTGGTCATTTCCTGGAAAAGTGATATTTTAAGAAGAAATTATGGAAACAATCTAAATGTCCAATTGCTGTGCTAGTGGTAGGGTTTATTTTCTGGGAGGTCTCTTCTTTGTGTGTGAGTGTCTGTGTGTGCACACATGCCCATCTGCTCTCCCAGAGGGGAGCAGTTGTGTTTGTGAGTGTATGGAGTTAGTGTGGAACATAAGAGCTGCAAAACAGCTGCAGAGCAAAGCACATCCAGGAGCCCCAGTGGTCACTGGAGTCTGGGCAACCCCAGCAATTAAAAGGGGTGAGATAATGCTCGTTGCTCTTCAGAGAGAGTGGTTGGAGTTCCCCCCTTCCCTCCGCCATATGCTTACATTATTGCTCTTTTAGTTTGACATGGTGTTTGGGTTTGTTTTTTTGAAAGGTCTGAAAGGGTGAAGTCCCCACCCAATGGCAATATGAAACCCTTTGTGCTTCTCTCCAGCCTCTTCCATGTGTCCACCTTTCTTCTCCTCTCCCCTTCCTTCCAAGCCTGTTTCCCTACTACCTTTACCCAGTTTGTGTGTTTGAGCTCTGCATTCAGGCAGCTGCAACATTCTGGTGTTTGAAATGTCACTGAATCTTGCACCCTAGACAAGCTAACCAGGTTTACCATCTCACTCCCACTTCCCATCTACAGCCCCATTCTGCATGAGAATTTGGTGTTTGGAATGTTTTCTGACTCTTGGGGTGGGGTTCCTCGCCTTATCATCCTCACTGTGGAGTTATGAGGAAGGGGAGGAGATTCTTCATCAGAAACTGGTTTTGTGTAGTAAATTTTTTTTCTTTCTTTCTTTCTTTTTTTTTTTTTGTTCGTCTGTGCAAGACCTGCAGCTGCTGAAATCAGCTTTGCCTTTAATAAACCATGTTCTCTCCAACCAGATCTGTGTATAGATTGTTTCTTTCCTATCTTAAAAGATAAAGTATTGAAGAAAATCCAACTTAAAGGCAAGAATTTCAACTACTCACAAGTCACCCAGAGAAAAGCAAATATGGTCAGAATATGTTTCAGGGTTATTTTTGCTTTTATTAGCATTCCAGACCAATGCATTATTATGGAAAGGGATGAGTAAAATGAAACTGATTATCAAAACTCTTTTAACAAAGAAGTAATGGCTTTGTAACGGAATTAACAGCCTACCATTTTAATCCTGTTGTAGTTGGTAATGAGGCACTTCAGAGAGAGTTTAACCTTTAGACCTATAAAAGTCACTAAATCTGATTAGCAGCAACAGTAATTATAGTTTTTAGCTTAGGAGTTGATTTTCTTTACGTTTGTGTCCAAAGTTTCAACTTAACGGTAGCTTGCTAGGTTTTTTATAGTGTGCTGGAAGCCAGTGCTAACAGCTTACTCTAAGGTCTGTGTGTGTTCACACTGACCAGCTATTTTTTCATCTAGGTGTTGATTCAGTCTACACTTCCTTTTCACAAGCACCTACAGACTTGAAAAATTATTAGCAGAGCTTTACATATTTTACAGGAAGAAGGGAGGGAGAGGAATTAGCCAGGTTTAAAAATTCAGTATTTATGGAATCTTTCACCCAAGTTAACCCTGAGAAACTGGACCATTGGGTTAAATGATAAAAGTAAAACCATAGCATTATATCATGTACATTAGTGTAGTACATATTATAAAGTGTGATCTAATGGGATACTACTAACTAACTGGCTTCCTGAACAGAGCATTTTGTCATTACTTAAATGTTAGAGGCATATATTCAGTATTGAATTTTTAACAAATCTACACTTCCTTTTCACAAGCACCTACAGACTTGAAAAATTATTAGCAGAGCTTTACATATTTTACAGGAAGAAGGGAGGGAGGGGAATTAGCCAGGTTTAAAAATTCAGTATTTATGGAATCTTTCACCCAAGTTAACCCTGAGAAACTGGACCATTGGGTTAAATGATAAAAGTAAAACCATAGCATTATATCATGTACATTAGTGTAGTACATATTATAAAGTGTGATCTAATGGGATACTACTAACTAACTGGCTTCCTGAACAGAGCATTTTGTCATTACTTAAATGTTAGAGGCATATATTCAGTATTGAATTTTTAACAAATGTTCCTCTCTGAGAAGGTGTAAAGGTATGTAAATCCAGTATTTTAATTTTCTGTGGGATTGAATATTGTATTCCATGGGAACCTAACTCAGTCTAGGTTCTGTTTAAGCCATGAGACTTTTTAATGAAAAAAAGAAAACAAGTTAATTTTATATGTGTATCCCTTCTGAATTACCTGTTACTTCAAGCCTTAGAAGTATGTAATAGGGCCGAGCCCGTGGCGCACTCGGGAGAGTGCAGTGCTCCCGCCACGGGTTCGGATCCTATATAGGGGTGACCGGTGCGCTCACTGGCTGAGCGTGGTGCAGCTGGTCTCAAAAAGGACAAAAAAAAAGTATGTAATAGTAATGGTACAGGAACAGGAATGTTTTACACAGCCCTTGGGCCTGGACTCTGGGTGTCTTGTTTGTTTTGTTTTTGTAGATAAGTTTTTTTATTGCGGTATCACACAGATGAAGTGCACCAATCATAAGTGTACAACTCGGTGAATTTTCACAAAGTGAACACATCTGGGTAGCCAGCACTCAGAGCAAGAAACAGATTATCAGCACCCTCAGGCCCCTTCCATCCACTCCCCACCCCCAACCCTGTACCCCAGGAAATCTTCATCTTGAATTCTCACATCATTGTCTAGTAGGTTAAATTTTAACAGGGAAAAGTTAGGTTAGTTAACACCTTCAAACTAATGTCTCAGTACAGTGTACAGCAAAGGGGTGCTAAATCTTGCAAACAAATAATAGGGCTTCATTCGACTTTGTATGTTGTGAGACATCCTAGACTCTTCTAGGAGTGTTTTCCAAATCGATAGTTGCACATTCTTCAACAAAAGCTTTGGGGAAAATGCCAACCTTCCCTTTGCACTCCCCTTCCAACCATTCTTCATTCACTGATAAAAGGAAAAGTACACATCGATTTCTAAAACCAATATAGGAAAATTACCCCATGTGGGTTTTCCACACAGATCTTTTGTCAGTCATCCTCTCCCATCCCCAATTGTGACAACAGGGAAAAGACAGTATTAGACAATGATATGAGGTAAGCGAGTGAACTTAGGGTTTTGCCATCTTATTGATTTCTCTCTTAGACATGACAGTGGAGTAAAATGTAGAATGAATTATATTTTTCAAAAGGTTACCACATAGGAAAATAAGATGAAAGAAATTGAATAATGAATCTTTAGGATTTTTAAAGAAAGTTTTATCTGAGCTTTGTTGGGAATCTTCATTTTGACTACAGAAAGGATCATGCCATTGGTTAAATATGAGAGTTCAGTGAGGGCTGGCCAGTTAGCTCAGTTGGTTAGAGCAAGTGTTGTAACACCAGGGTCAAGAGTTCGGATCCCTGGACAGGCCAGCCACACACACAAAAAAAGTTCAGTGATTCATCAAAGAGTTGAGAAAGCTAGTGGTGGGTTAATACATGTTTGTAAAATATAAGGATTTTCATAGCTCCTATTTTGAGTTTTTAATAAAGTGCAGCTATTATACTAGAATGTATATATACTTAGACTTCATAACTTGTAGATATTATCCCTGTTTTACTAAGGAAAAGGAGATCCAGACATTAATTTGTTCAGAGCCATTCTGTCAGTAAATATCAGATAACTTGGGTATAACCTCCAAGGCCCACCTACCAGACCACACAACCAGTACAGAAGTTCATCTTTGGATATAAGACATCTAGGTCAGACATTAGAACACTGGTATTTGTATCCTGCCCCCAGAAATACTGTTTTAATTAGTGTAGTGTGGCTGGGTATAAATTTCTTTGAAAGTTCCCTCCGGTAATTCTAATCGTAAATCACTCCCTTGATTCCTCCTACTTACAGTGTGGGGTCGTGGACTGGAAACATTTGTTTGTCCTGGATCCCAGGAGCATATTAGAAATGCAAAATCCCAGACCTCACCCTAAACTTGAATCCATTTTAAGAAAATCCTCAGGTGATTCACATGCATGTTAAAGTTTGAGAAGCACATTGTAGATGAAACCATCTCATAATTGTTGAATGCAGTCAAATTTGTCCTCAGTCCCACCCCATATGAATGCTGAATTGTTTTCTATTGAAGTGTTATGATGAAGTTCCAAAGAAT